TTATTTTCTTTATAGAGCTCTTTTATTATCTTCAATAGGGGTCTATCTACTTCTAAAATATTCAAGGCTTCCCATATCTTGTTGCGAGGAATAGAGTCGTACGCTTTCTCCAAATCAATAAACGCTAGATGGACTTCTTGATCTACTGCTATCTTTTTTCCATCACCTGCTGTAGGACAAAGAGGTTATCTGTGCAAGATTTCCCCGGTGTGAATCCGTTTTGATCTTCCGAGATTTTGTCACCAATATTATCCCTGAGCTTACCCTGCAGAACTTTTCCAAAAAGCCTGCTCACTGAACTGTTAATGCTCAGGCCTCTATAACAACCGGGGTCGTTGCGATTTCCCTTTTTAAAGATAGACACTATATGAGCCACTCTCCATTCTTGGGGTAGTTTATTTTGCAGACAGCACTGGTTGAACAGCTCTGCCAGGCGCCAGCGCAATTTCTCGATCCCACACTTTAACAATTCTACTGCAATGTTACCAGAACCTGGTGACCGTCCATTTTTCATTTTTTTGAGACTTAGATGTACTTGTCTTTCGCTGATCGTTAAAGTGCCCGCAAGGTTGTCTTCCTCTTCTGCAGATTGGAATTCTGGTTGGTTTTCTGTTAGTAATTATAATAAATTACCAAAAGTTATGTAAATAATATTACCAAAAGTTATGTAATAAATTAGATTTTATTACATAACTTTTGGTAATATTTGAGGGTTAGTTTCATCTTGTTGGAATTTGACTTTCGGAAAATCCGTTTGTCAAAAATAAGCTTTTTACGTCAAGCAGTTTAAGCAGAATCGTGGTTAATCAATTACCCAACTTTTTCGAGCACCCTGTATGATTTTTTAAAAAATTTCAAAATATGTAAAAATCAAAATAAATTATGCGTGTCCAAGCGTTTTCCCGCAAGACTAACCGTTTTTTAAATAACAAATATTGTAATATTTCAGGGGCGTTTTTACCCTCTTGGAATTTGAGATTCGAGAAACCCCTCCTTGTCAAACCTCTATTACACCCCACAGTAAATCCGTTTACCAAAAATCAGCTTTAAACGTCAAGCAGTTTAAGCAGAATCGTGATTACTCCATGGTCGTATTTTATGAAACACCCTGTATAAATTTATAAAAAATCTTAAAATATGTAAAATAACAAAATAAAATAGACGTGTTTAAGAGGTTTTCCGAAAAACTCATTGGTTTTTATATAAAAAATATTTTAATATTTTAGGTATAGTTTCACCCCCTTAGAATTTGAATTTCGAAAAATCCCTTCTAATCGAACCTCTACACCCTAAAGTCAATCCGTTTTCCAAAAATCCGCTTTTTACGTCAAGCGCTTTAAGCAGGATCGTGATTAATCAATGACCAGATTTTTTGAAATCACATATTTCAAATCTTGAAATATGTAAAAAACAAAATAAAATATACGTGTTTATGCGTTTTTTCGGAAACTTGACCGTTTTTTAAATAAACAATATTGTAATATTTGAGGGGTGGTTTCACCCCCTTGGAACTGAAGTTTCGAAAAATCCTTTCTTATCGAACCTCTACACCCTATAGAACCAACCTGTATGCCAAAATTGAGCTTCTTACGTTGAGTGGTTTAAGCAGGATCGCGTGATTAATCAGTGAGTCACTAAAGGATTTTATATATTAGTATAATAAATACATATTTTTTTTCAAATGGATAAAGCGGGTTTTACAACTTGACGCCTCAGTTCTAGAAATGGAAGAAAAGTGTATACTAAAAATTATAATAAAAATAATGCAAGTACTACTACTATGCTGATGGTACCGGTAAAAGCAGGACATTTTCCCCAAAGGTCGCTATGGGCGCTCTTTAATCTGGGTACGACCGCTCTGATAGCAGCTATTATTCGATACGGTGGACCGACTAATAGAAGACGTGATCGACTCTCCCGTGGTGGTACCGACGCATCTGTCCGTACCGACTTAATTTTCTCAAATTTCGTACGTCTCATTTTTTCCGTGGCGTCATTAACACAGTCTTAATCGTACTTTTTGTTAAAGTTATACTCATCAACAAAAAATTTGATATACAAAATACCGTATGATGGACAAAAAACGGCGTCAAGAGCCTGAGAAATGACAATCGATGATAATTTTGGCAAAGTCAATCTCTAGACGTTATCACTATTTTAAACTAAGAAAAAAAATCTATTAGTTATCTATACTAATATATAAAATAGTGACTCACTGATTAATCACGATCCTGCTCAAACCACTCAACGTAAGAAGCTCAGTTTTGGCATACAGGTTGGTTCTATAGGGTGTAGAGGTTCGATAAGAAGGGATTTTTCGAAATTCTAGTTCCAAGGGGGTGAAACCACCCCTCAAATATTACAATATTTTTTATTAAAAAAACGGTCAAGTTTCCGAAAAAACGCTTAAACACATATATTTTATTTTATTTTTTTACATATTTTAAGATTTTTTAAAAATGTATACAGGGTGTTTAGAAAAATCTGGTTAGGGATTAATCACGATCCTGCTTAAAGCGCTTGACGTAAAAAGCTGATTTTTGGAAAACGGATTGACTTTAGGGTGTTGATGTTCGATAAGAAGGGATTTTTCGAAACTTGAATTCTAAGGGGGTGAAACCACCCCTCAAATGTTAGAATATTTTTTTATTTAAAAACCGGTGAGTTTTTCGGAAAAAGTCTTAAACACGTATATTTTATTTTGTTGTTTTACATATTTTAAGATTTTTTAAAAATTTATACAGGGTGTTTCATAAAATATGGCCATTGAATAATCACGATACTGCTTAAACTGCTTGACGTTTAAAGCTGATTTTTGGCAAACGGATTAACTGTGGGGTGTAGAGGTTCGACAAGGAGAGGTTTCTCGAATCTCGAATTCCAAGAGGGTGAAAACGCCCCTCAAATTTTACAATATTTGTTTTTTAAAAAACGGTTAGTCTTTCGGGAAAACGCTTGGACACGCATAATTTATTTTGTTTTTTATATATTTTTAATTTTTTTTAAAAATCACACAGGGTGTTCCAAAAAGTTGGACAATTCATTAACCACGATTCTGCTTAAACTGCTTGACGTTTAAAGCTGATTTTTGGCAAACGGATTAACTCTGGGGCGTAGAGGTTCGATAAGGAGGGGTTTCTCGAATCTCGAATTCCAAGAGGGTGAAAACGCCCCTCAAATATTACAATATTTGTTATTTAAAAAACGGTTAGTCTTTCGGGAAAACGCTTGGACACGCATAATTTATTTTGTTTTTTATATATTTTTAATTTTTTTAAAAAATCACACAGGGTGTTCCAAAAAGTTGGACAATTCATTAACCACGATTCTGCTTAAACTGCTTGACGTTTAAAGCTGATTTTTGGCAAACGGATTAACTGTGGGGTGTAGAGGTTCGATAAGGAGGGGTTTCTCGAATCTCGAATTCCAAGAGGGTGAAAACGCCCCTCAAATATTACAATATTTGTTATTTAAAAAACGGTTAGTCTTTCGGGAAAACGCTTGGACACGCATAATTTATTTTGTTTTTTATATATTTTTAATTTTTTTAAAAAATCACACAGGGTGTTCCAAAAAGTTGGACAATTCATTAACCACGATTCTGCTTAAACTGCTTGACGTTTAAAGCTGATTTTTGGCAAACGGATTAACTGTGGGGTGTAGAGGTTCGATAAGGAGCGGTTTCTCGAATCTCGAATTCCAAGAGGGTGAAAACGCCCCTCAAATATTACAATATTTGTTATTTAAAAAACGGTTAGTCTTTCGGGAAAACGCTTGGACACGCATAATTTATTTTGTTTTTTATATTTTAATTTTTTTAAAAAATCACACAGGGTGTTCCAAAAAGTTGGACAATTCATTAACCACGATTCTGCTTAAACTGCTTGACGTTTAAAGCTGATTTTTGGCAAACGGATTAACTGTGGGGCGTAGAGGTTCGATAAGGAGGGGTTTCTCGAAACTCGAATTCCAAGAGGGTGAAGACGCCCCTCAAATGCTACAATATTTGTTATTTAAAAACGGTTAGTCTTTCGGGAAAACGCTTTGACACACATAATTTATTTTGTTTTTTATATACTTTTAATTTTTTTAAAAAATCACACAGGGTGTTCCAAAAAGTTGGACAATTCATTAACCACGATTCTGCTTAAACTGCTTGACGTAAAAAGCTTATTTTTGACAAACGGATTTTTCGAAAGTCAAATTTCCAACGAGATGAAACTATCTCTCAAATATTACCAAGTTATATAAGAATATCGCCATATTGTTTTCTCTCATGCTGACATAAATGTGAGAAAATTTCTTGCTTCGCTTTATCATCACCATTACAAGTGATTAATTCGACGCGAACAAAGTCGCGGGTACAGGCTATTAATTACATATTTAGATTATTTTTATATCACCACGAAACACTATTTAATTAAAGAAAAAATACTCTGGACACTTTTTAATGGTTCTTCTCGAGTGAATTACCACATGCAGGTACAAAAAAAAAACCCGACAGGAACATATTTACAACCTCCTCGTTCCGTATAACCACCCCGATTTATTTATTAGATTTCACTTTTTCGAGTGGGAGTGACAAGTCGGGTTCAGACGTGGCGCCGGTACGACGAGGACGGCGGTACCTCGCGTACGACCCGGAGGAAGAGAGACGGAACTGTTAGTGATGTATCGAGAACGTGGAACGCATGTGACGTCAATTAGGAAGGATATTGTCACTTGTATCCTTGGAGTGGTGTATTTATTTTTTTCGTTTTGGGAGATTTTGTGTTCCTTTATTTTTTCTGTGATAATTAGTAGAGGAAGTACTAGAGAGATGTGTGGGAGGGTTAGAGAAATAAGTAAAGGCTGTTGTATAATGTTGCCATCTTATTTCTTTAAGGTCTAAAAAAGAGGATTGATTTTAGGCTAGTAAACATATCTCGATTTTGTACAAATTTTGTACATTATCATTTAATTTTTGTGTGGTGATTAATATATTTTCTTCTTTGTTTCAGGACCCTTTTACGGTGAGTACTCAATTCAGAAATGGATGAATTTTCCGTAAGTCGCATTTGTATATACAGGGTGTCCCAGAAATAAGTGCAAGTATTTTAGCTGGTAGTAAAGTTCAACCCCAGAAACATGCTTAAGTTTTTTTTCGCGAATTTTTATTTTGAAAATTCGGAATTTTTGATTTTTTTTTTTAGTTTTTATTAAAAAAATAATTTCTTGATAATATGGCAACATAGGTAGTAGATTAACTTTACAAGAAAGAAAATCCAGAAAAGATCCAGTGGTTCTCAAAATTTTAGCAAAAAATCATTTTTTTTTAATTTATTATTAATAAATTAATAATTTATTATTAATTTATTAATAATAAATTATTAATATTATTTATTATAATTAAATTATAATTTTTTTTACGTTATTTTGGACTTATTTGAAAAACGATAAAGAGAAAATATTTGTTTCTTTTATCTACCACCCCTTAAAATACTTATTTCTGGGATACCCTGTATATTAGGTACTACCGAGGGTACTACATATTATAGTTCATTAAGGTTTTACTTTTATAAGATACCGGGTGGGTTTCCCAAAAGTGGTTCACCCCCTATAACTTTTTTATTTTTTCAGATAAAAAAATGGTATTTGGTGTGTTAGAATTTTTTTTAGAATTTAGAATGAGTGGGAGGGGGGTTAATCACTTCGACCTTACAGATCCATTGTGTCCCCCTTTCTTGGATCATAACTCATCATACAGTCCCAGGGCTTTGACAAAAGCCAGTATCTGGGACGGTTTTATAGAGGGTAGTTCTCCATCTCCAATATCAGTCGTACCAAAATTCATGGCACGAATGGTTGTCGTCTCGGCGCACTCAGTGATGAGGTGTACTGGTGTTTCACCATCTTCCCCACAGAATCTGCATTCGCCGTTTCTTCTTAGTTTCAATCTACTGAGGTGTTCATTGAGGAGACAGTGTCCTGTTAAAAACCCCGTGACAATCCGAAGATTGTTCTTACTCAGACCCAGGAAGATCTGTGATTTTTCTTGATTATAAGCCCTCAGAAACTTCTTCGAGTGTCTTAGACCATTGCAAGATTTCCATTCCAGGTTGCGGATGGAATCTTCCAAGTTCTTGAGTTCCGCCTTGAGTTGGTTACCACTTGGAAAGCAGAACGGTTCTGGTCCAGTTAGTGGATTGTTCGCTCCTTTCCTAGCTAGATTATTTGCTTTTTCATTGCCTTCTATCCCTTGGTGAGCAGGCACCCAGTGTAGGAGGACTTTGTTTTCTTTGCCTAATTTATTCAGCTTCTCTACTCATTCTTTGACCAATTTCGAATTGATTGATACTGAGTTGATCGCCTTTAACGCTGCTTGACTATCAGATAAGATGACTATTTCTTATTTCCGATACTTCCTATCTAAGATAAGTTGTACGCGTCTCTCGATAGCGTAGATTTCTGCCTGTAGGATACTAGGGTAAGTGCCCATTGGTTCGGAGTAATTAGCTCTCGGCCCAAACACTCCTTTTGGTGTGTTAGTATATGGCATAAATTAGGATTGATCGAAGTATTCAATTGTTTTTCGGTCACTTCCTGTTTCACCGGAAATGACAAGGACAATTTTCGATTTTTAAATGGTACCCTCGGTATTTTTTTACTTTATTCGATAGAAAATGACACTCTAAATAGAATGACATAAACTTTTGACATTTTCGCATATGGTTTATTTGAAAGTGTAACATGCTGTTCATAACGACTATTTGACTCGAAATACCAAGTGTGTGGTACCAAATTATTCGTAAAAAGGCATTTAAAAGTTGTAGTCATTTTCATAGACTAACATACCAAATCTAGTTATAATCAAAGTTATAAGGGTGAACCACTTTTGAGAAACATCCGGTACAAGACACAGAAGCAAGTATTTAGAAATACGACTGTATTTGTAACGTTGCTGTTACTTTTTAATGTTGTTTGTTGAGAGATCTTCACTGACTCGTTTGAACAGACTTATTCAGTTTACAAACGGTCATGTGCTTTCAAGCATTTCCCATCGCACTGTACGCAACCCTCCGTCAATATGGCCGTCCCAGTCCCAACAGATAAATATATATAGCCGCTAATTTGCCACAATTTCGTTTCTTCTTTATATCATTCGGTTGCGTGACCAGCCGACAACCTGTAAACTGCTCGTTTACAGATGATTCCCGATGATAGCAGCCACGACCGAACATACACGGCGGAAAAAAAACGAGACGACGTGGCCGTTGGCAAAAAAGACACGACGGCACGAACAAGGACGCTGTGTGTGTACACTAACATATCAAAAAGTTACGAGCCTGCTGAAGAGGTTTTATGTATATGCGATTCTCCCCATTTTTCGCCGAAGATATATGTCAACAGTGTAATGATTAAAAATAAATATCAACTCTTCATATAGTTTATGGTATTTCTGATTGCTTGTTTGAGTGTCTAGACCAGTCATATTAATTATTAAACCGCAATAATTATTGAGAATTATTATAAATAAAGTTGTATATAGGATTATTGTTTGTATTGGTGTTTTTATTTATTGAGCATATTTAATGTTTTTTTTTCTCTTTTTATGCTCTCCGTTTGATGATTTCCCGGATTTTTTAGGCGGTGAGTATATAAAATATTTAGTTTGTTTAATACAGAGTGACAGCTCTAACAAAAATGCAGTAAAAACAATTTTTTTTTCTTTATTATTTATATATTTATTTTTTATTTATTTTGTCTCTCCTGTAAGTGGAACACAGTAAGAAAATATAAGCTTTACTTACTGTTGATTTGTGTTAAAGGTGTTAAAAATATTTATATACCGTTTTAACTTTAAAAAAATTAAATATTTCACCAAATTCTGTGATTTTTTGACTCTATAATTTTTTTTATTCTTCAAATTTTAACTAAAATTGATTGGGCTATACAGGGTCAGTCTTAGCAAGTGCAAATATTTTCAGGGCTGGTAGATCTCGATAAAAAAGCATATTTTGTGTCCAGGAAGGGTTCATAGTTTCATAGTTGTCGATTTTCGAAAGAAATCAGTACCTGTATATTATTTCCTATATTTTTCATTTTATTGATTTTATGGAAAGCACAGTTCATTAAAATGTTGTATCCTATGTTATAGGGCTTGTTTCTCTCTACAATTTCCTGTCTCACAATGTACCGTTTGTGTCCACGAAGGGTTCATAGTTTCATAGATGTCGATTTTCGAAAGAAATCAGTACTTGTATATTATTTCCTATATTTTTCATTTTATTGATTTTATGGAAAGCACTGTTCATTAAAATGTTGTATCCTATGTTATAGGTCTTATTTCTCTCTACAATTTCCTGTCTTACAATGTACCGTTTGTGTCCAGGAAGGGTTCATAGTTTCATAGTTGTCGATTTTCGAAAGAAATCAGTACCTCTATATTATTTCCTATGTTTTTTATTTTATTGATTTTATGGAAAGCACTGTTCATTAAAATGTTGTATCCTATGTTATAGGGCTTGTTTCTCTCTACAATTTCCTGTCTCACAATGTACTGTTTGTGTCCACGAAGGGTTCATAGTTTCATAGTTGTCGATTTTCGAAAGAAATCAGTACCTGTATATTATTTCCTATATTTTTCATTTTATTGATTTATGGAAAGCACTGTTCATTAAAATGTTGTATCCTATGTTATAGGGCTTTTTTTGTCGATTTTCGAAAAAAATCAGTACCTCTATATTATTTCCTATATTTTTTATTTTATTGATTTTATGGAAAGCACTGTTCATTAAAATGTTGTATCCTATGTTATAGGGCTTGTTTCTCTCTACAATTTCCTGTCTCACAATGTACCGCTTGTATCCAGAAAGGGTTCATAGTTTCATAGATGTCGATTTTCGAAAGAAATCAGTACCTGTATATTATTTCCTATATTTTTAATTTTATTGATTTTATGGAAAGCACTGTTCACTATTTGCCGTTTTTCAAATAAGTCCATTATATTTTACTTTGAAAATTTCCAAAAAAATTGATTTTTCCTTAAATTTTAAGAACCACTGAATCTTTCTGGGTTTTCATTCTTGCAAATTTAATCCACTATCTATGTTGCAATATTATAAAGATATTAGGTTTTTAGCTAAAAATTTTAAAAAAATTCTAGATTTTCAATTTTTTTCGCAAGAAGAAAACTCATAGACGTGTTTTTGGGGGTCGAAATATAATACTACACCTAAAAATATTTGCACTTATTTAAGATTCACCCTGTATAAGATTAAGAAAAAATAAATGTCTGCTTCTCGGACTCTTTGGTTCCATATCTCCGCCATATTCCTTTCCCCCATTTCACTTACACTTTTCCCCAATTCACTTCCTTTTTTTACCACCTCCATGTGTCGTGGCATACATTAGCTAGGAGAAGGTATAGGAGCGATTTTGTGGGAAAACCCCCGCAAAAATTGTCTACGCACGCTGCGATCTGATAAGAGGCGCGGGGGCTGGACCCCACGGGGGGCTCCAAAAACAGCGGGGAGTCCTAAAACAAACAGCGTGTCTCCGGAATATTACGGAGGGCTCCCTGTAGCGTGTCCGGCGTCTTTTTTACGTCCTCTCTTCTCCTCCCCTGTAAGTCACAATTCGGATTTTTTCTAAGCGGTTTTTTTTTTGAAAATATATTGTTTACTTCCTCGATTTTTTGCGTAAGAAAATTTACGTAAAAGTTCTATTGACCTGACAGTTGTCTGTAAGAAAGTAAAATATTTTTAATAGTAAAATACAGGGCAATTAGTTATACTCAGCAATAATATCCTTTTGTACTTCTTGACTTTCCTACTTACCCATCAGTTTTTTTTTAATTTTATTTCATAGCTTTATAGATACAAGATACAAGTTTTGCAAAATAACTACTATTCGTTTATTTTTATTTAATTTTATTACAAATGCTTTTTTTGTTTTTCTTACATTTCGAAGGTCGAATATTTAATTTGTATAAATTTTAGAGAAAGGCTATGAAATATTTATCCTACTTAGATATCCTCCATCTTAGAGTCAACAAAATAAAGTAATCTTAAATGAAAAATATTTCATAGCTTACTTATACGATTTATCTATGTGCAATTATTATTAATTACAATTTTTTTTGTTTTTTCTTTTTCATGCTGGTTGACAATTATATCTACCATTGGACTTGATTAGTATGTAAGTATTTTTTTTGTTATTGTTAGTTTTATATTATGTAATCCTCATTTTGTTGGGATATAATATACAGGGTGTTTCAAAACAAATGCGAAAAACTTCAGGGGGTGATTCCTTGTTCAAAATAAAGGGTAGTTTGCTTCATAAACGTTGGGTCAAAAGTCAACCATTAGGGAGATATTGCGGTACAAAGATGGCGGAAAAATAATGTTTTGAAATTTAAAGAAAATTTTGTGAAATTTAAAGAAAAATCTTATCAAATACATGCAAAAAAATTAATTTGGATAGTTTAGTTTGTTTAGAAACTTTTTTATCTCTTGTATTTTTTTGATAAAACTCACCGATTTGAAATTAAAAAATAAAATGTAAAGCATTACATGTCAGGACAAAAAACATTTTCTGATAAAGAATCTAGTGGGCTGCTGTAATTTTTTAGGGAAAAATCTAGTCGGCCGCTGTTACTTTTAGGATGTTCCTAATATTATTTTATTTGACATTACTCTACTGCAATACGTTATTATCTAGATGATTATTATTATCGTTATTATCACTAGATTCTTAATCTAAAAATGTTTTTTGTCCTGACATGTAATGCTTTACATTTTATTTTTTAATTTCCAATCGGTGAGTTTTATCAAAAAAAACACAAGAGGTAAAAAGTTTCTAAACAAACTAAACTATCCAAATTAAAGCATTTGCATGTGTTTGATACGATTTTTCTTTAAATTTCGTTAACAAGAATGATAGGAATAGTTTATTTCAACCCCTTCCACTCATTTTAAAAAGTAAAAAAATTACCTGAAAGTGTGTTTTCATAACAGTAATGCTTCCATAAAATTTCATTAGTCTATCTCTTTTCGTTTTCAAGATAAAAAATAAAAACATTATTTTTCCGCCATCTTTGTACCGCGATATCTCCCTAATGGTTGACTTTTGACCCAACGTTTATAAAGCAAACTACCCTTTATTTTGAACAAGGAATCACCCCCTGAAGTTTTTCGCATTTGTTTTGAAACACCCTGTATTTTTGAGGCATCAAGTTGAAAAATCCGCAATATCCATTTAAAAAAAATGGCCTAATGACATTATATTAATAGTGGACCTAAATAGTGGAATCTACATAAACATAGTCCCATACTGCAGCAAAAGTCACCTATTCACAACCAAACCAAACCTAATTATTGTTGCAAATCCCGCATTTTTTCATCGTACTGCTTTTTACACGTACAAGTATAATATGCCTATTGAGATCTTATCCATTTCAAATCCTTACTTAATTTTAAAAAAAATCATATCTAATAAATCAAGTTTTTGTTGTTTTTTCTCTTTTATTTCTAGAAAAACGAGATAGAAAACAATGATTGCACTCAATGGACACTTTTTTTTGTAAAATAACGCTTCAAACATTTGCTAAAACACTCAAAACAGCGTTTTTGGGATAAGACGGGTTTTGCAATTTGACGCCTCATGATTTTCGGGATAAAATTTAAATTTATTTCGTAAAAATGACATGTACACAAAAGAAAGACAGACACTTTATCAAGCCAGTGTCAAAGCAAATGTCTTTGATACGTTTTCAACAAGAATTAAGCAAATTTACTTATCCACACAGGTTATAAGTTCAAAGGTATCAAATTAAAAAAAGACAGAAAAAAATTACGATACGCATCTATAGTAACTTTAACCGATAAGAAACAGGGCAGCGGGTCCCGAGCCAAAACCCATTAAAACATAGAGGAAAACAAAAAGAAGAACCGAACACACAAGATAAAGATAAACGAAAAAGAAGAAGAAAAAAACGAAGAGCCTAATTGGTGCGCCCGATAGACCGAAAAGATAACGACACCAATTTGAAAAAATGGGACAGGCCAGCGACGGATAACTTCCTGCAGTTCGTAGATCGACCGAGTCGATAGCGCATCGATATTTTTGATATCGATACCCGAAATTAACACCTCGGGAAAACGCCGTTTATGCCGTATCTTCATTTGAATATCGAAAAGGTGGTGCTAATTCTTTCCGTGAATCTTTTTTAAAGCGCTTGACTTTATTCTATCTAAAATAATAGACGTTGGTCTATTATTTTAGATAGAATAGTTAGACAGAAATTTCCATAATATCTTAAGTAAAAATTAGGAAAGAATACTTGAATTTAAATTAAAATTATAGAAAAAAGAATTAAAATATAACAAAACCTACTCTCTTAGGTATTTAGGTCACTCTCAAATATTTCCCTCTTATATTTTCTTTTTTTTTCCTTATTGGCATTCCAAAAAAGTACCTACATATAGTAATAACAAAAAAAAGGAATTCTCTGACCGAAATATGCACCACAAGCGATGGTACCGCTCAGATAAGGCTTGTATCAGATAAGGCAGGACAAGAGAACGGACGCTACAGAAACGCATAAATTCGAATCGGAGTGGTTCCAGTCAGTACCGTAAAAAATACTTTCGCAAATTGTCACCGAAGAGTTTTTTTCGGTATAGGAAGGGAGAGAAATAGTTTTGAACTACTAGGTATTTTTCTAAGATCAAAAATAAACTAAATAGTGTCTATACTTTTGTGAAAGATTTATTTCTTGAAAAGAATTCTGGTTTTTCAATTTATCAACTTTAAAATTACAATTAGTTATTTAGGTAAAACTAGAAAGCTTCAAAGTTTCTGTATTACTAACTACTACTAACATTAATAACATCTACAGATGTTAAATGTGTCCCATGAATGCACACAAATCTTAGATTTGCGAAATTTAACCTTTTTTAAATAAACTAGTTATTCCAACAAAATGAAGATCTTGTTTTATTTAAATTATCTATTTGGTTTATAATTTTTTGCTGTTTTTTTCTTTACAGAATGTACTGCATTGGGGTGCAAAACATGGAAACGAAGAAATAATTAAAATCTTTACAGGCTCGTACAAAGTTGACATCAACAGTCGCACGGTATATTATTTTCTTCTTTTGATATAACATTTTAATATAATATAAACTGTCTTTTTTCCATGTTTTACTTGGCTCCATCTTCAACCAACTGCCAAACAGAACGGGGTAAGTTTTTGAATAAATTTAATCAAAAAAAAAATAACTCTAAATATGTGTTTAAAGAAAAAGTCTTAAATCTATACAATATTTTCTTCAAAATCGTTTTTTTTTGTATCTTGACTAAAAATACAGAAAAAAGAAATATTCCTGTCAAAATGACATATTTCTAAGTACTTTTTTTTCTGGGAATATCCCAAGTCTTTTAGATCTCAGGCTGGTAGAACTGGCGGCATATAAAAGAATTTACCGCGTTCTGATACCTAGAAACGCGACTCTTTGGAATGCCTCTTGTTTATTTATCGCTTACGACGTCCTCGGTATGTGGCAACGTTGCATTTCCTCGATCTGTCAAGTGGCGAGAGTGACGAGTGCGAGTCTCGTAGCTACCGGGTATATTCAACAGATCCGGACTTATATTTTTACAAAAAAAAATCTTAAAAAATGTAAAATATATATTGTTTTATTAGGACGTACCGTGTATACCCTGGATATACAAATTACAAATATTTGTTAAGTAGACGAGTCGTGAATTGCATCTTTGAATCAGAATTTTATATGCAGGATGTCAAAAATAGTGTACCAAACTTCAGCGAATGCTTCTACAGATAAATACAGGGTGTCCCAGGAATAAGTAAAGTAGTAACTGCAAGTATTTTAAGGGATGGTAGATCTCGATAAAAGAAACATATTTTCTCTTTTTTCAAACTCGTTTTTCAAATAAGTCCAAAATAACGGAGTTATTTTACATTGAAAATTTCCAAAAAAAAATATTTTTTGCTAAAATTTTGAGAACCACTGGATCTTTTCTGGATTTTCTTTCTTGTAAATTTAATCTAATACCTATATTGCCATATTATCAAGAAATTATGTTTTTAACTAAAAACTAAAAAAAATCGAATTTTCCAATTTTTTTTCACGAAAAGAAACCTCATAGGCGTGTTTCTGGGGTTGAACGTTGAACTATACTACCAGTTAAAACACTTGCACTTATTTCTGGGACACCCTGTATAAAACAAAAAACGCTTCTCGAGGACCTTACAGCTTTTGAAAGGGTACATAAAAATATTTTGTTTATTTTTAATGAAATTTTCAAACTGTTTTTATTGAAATTTAGTATTCTCACAGACATTTTAATGCCAAAGCGATTAAGAATGGTGTAAAAATCACAATAGAGCTTGGTTTCTTACAAAACTTTTTTATCTCTTAGTTGATACTGAATTTTCAGCAAATGACATAAAAATCTAAGTTTTTTTTTACCAAAGGAAGATGCTCTTCGTTTTGTAACTACTTAGAGAACTCTAGTTATTTAGCAGACATATTTTTGAACAAATTTATATCCGTTTTTAGAGTTCCGTATCTCAAGAGGATAAAACGGAACCGTTATAGGATCACTTTGTTGTCAGTCTGTCTGACTTATTCTTATACTACAAGTTTAGGGAAAAATCTGAAAACTACACATTTTTAATTAAATCAGAAAATAATATTATTTTTTAATTTTATTCTCACTAATTTAGGATTTTCTTTTTGGATGAAATGTTTCCAGTAAATAAGCTAAAAATACATAATAAATAAGTCTGGGCCTGTGTATATATATATAATTTACCTAATAAGTTCATCTATCTAATCTAAGAAGTATAGTGACGTTCTAAGAAACGTTCTAGTACTTACAGACGCGGAACTTTTTTTTCTTCTTAAAATACAAGCTATTAAAGCCTTTTTTACATCGTAGAAAGGCTGGAATTAGAAAAATTTAGCCGACAAAAATATTTCTCACGACACAAAGTCATATTTTTCGTCTTTACAAACCTTGCGACATGCATAAAACACGATTTTTCGGGTATTTAGGTAGGCAACATAGATAATAATCTTTGTGACGGTTTTTTTCGTGTCCTTTCCCCTGTTTAAAGCTCCCGAAGAATGTCATTTTTTTTTTATTTTTTTAGGGTTACACGCCTTTACACATAGCAGCACAGTTCGCGCATAAAGATTTTTTTAAGAAGCTTCTCCAAGACTACCGTGAGTATTTTACTTTATTTAGAACTTCTCTAACAATTAGTTTAACATAAAAACTAATTTATTATAAAAAAAAATAGATTTTTTGGATTCTGCTGGGAGTAAAAATTCATAAAAAAGGGAAGACTTAAGATGGCGCTGCTGTAGCAAAAACCTAAAATTTAAAATATGCGCCGAAAATTTTTAGAACGGGAAATAATTCAAAAGAGATAAATATTTGACGGGAAGGCGCGGGTTTCAAAAAAATACAAATTTTATTTTCATGGCACATGAAATAAATTATCGATTTTTATTCAGCAGTAGACTGGGCCTCTAATATATAAAAACTATTTGAAGCCTGGCGTATCCGCCACGACATCAGAAAAAAACCTTTTTTTTTTAATTAAATGAAAAACAAAAAATCCGGCGACGACAGTTTTTAGAAGAGCCAATTAGCTATCTTTTAGTAAAAAAAAACAACTTTCTTGAGCAAGTCGTTACTTCAGTAGAAACGACACAGATAAACATTAGCATTTTATATATGTAGATAATTGTGTTATATTCTAAAAAATAAAAACAATGCTTTTTGGGGTAATGTTTGGTTATGTTACTTTTATTCTCTTATCAATGATTACTTTTCATTTTTTAGATTTATGCGTCATTAGCGCCACTGTGCCCAAGTAGCATTTGGACGTTATCTAACGTCGGGTATACGTCGCGTTCAATAAACCCGACGTCGGGTACCAACGTCGGTTCGACCGCCTGATGACCCTTATTTGTACCTAAATGGGGAATACAGATTCGGGTCGCCTCGACGTCGGGATCTGACCTAATAGGGAATGTAATTCTACCAATTACCAACGTCATATTACGTTGGATTTCAGTTACTTAAAATTCGTCGCTAAGCACTTACGTTACGTTTGGTTTCAAATTCGCTACCAAGAATACATAATGGATTCATAATCACTCCTCGAATATAACTATAAGTGCCTACCTAATTTCATATTATAATAATTCTGAATCGTTAATCGAGACATCAGTTTTGTAAACGTAAGTCACTTTTTTGATATATCTGATTAAAATACTCCAGAAAACAACTAGCGCCTTCAAAATTAGGTAGATTTATGAAATAAAAATATCTATAAAAAAGTAACTCGCAAAATATATTTTTTATTTTCTAGCTGGTTTAATCATAAAACTGTACTGTGGTTTCCCCTAAACTCAACCTTATCAATATTATTCTACTAGAAATCGGAATGTGAATATAAATTTTACAAACAAACAGCGATTTTATAATGGCTGACAATCGAATACTTGTGAAGAATGGCGGATTTTTGTGTCCGACTTAATATGAACTACCAATATACCAATTCCGACCGGGTCTCCAACATTAGTCGTCTCACACGACCAAAGTCATCAAACCGGATGACCGGCAATCGTATTATGACGTATATAATTCCAACGTACGCCACGTAAAATTTGCGACGGCCGCCATACGTAGGAGCATCCGTCGTCGGCCACATAGCACATAATTTTTCGTATTCCTGGTAAACGATTCCCGATGTTGTCTGTTATTGGTCTATGATAGGTCAATTGTTTGTTGTCAAAAATGTTTGAGTATCAGTGATTTGTGGATTTGTGCAATTATATTTTAGTTTTTGTTTCCTCCTTAAAAAAATGGGCAGCCACTTTTTTTAGATAGTATATATACAAAATTTAAAAGAATTGGAACCAGTACCTCACATGTGGGAGGAGGATGGGGTCTGCTGGTTTCCTAAGCTAAAAAAAGAAATTAAGATGCACCAGTGTAATGCAGCATCTCTTCCGGATAAAAAGCATTCGTGGGTGGAGGCAAGACTAAACGAAAAGCTACTACTATTATTTTACAAAAGCCTCGACCTCTTTCTGTAAAATGCAGATGAATGTCTAAATGCCTTTTTAATGTTTTTTAAGCATAATAAAAAAAATTAAGTTTGTTTACAAAAACTTTTTATTAGGTTATGTTCATTAGGCCGCAAATGCTACTTAATGGGTTGTATTTACGGACGTAAATAGAAATACGTGAAATAGGTTATAAATATGAACATAAAATACAACAAAATATAATTGGACGTTACTTTAGGGATTATCAGTGAGACGTATCGTATTCGGACAACGGGTAGACGTCGGGCTAGTTCAAGTATACGTCGTGCAAGCCAATGTAGGAACGACGTTGGGAAATTAATAAAAATGGTACGTTGTTATTTTGTACGTCGACAAATCGTTGGATTTACCGACTCGGATCCAACGACGTCGCTTTTAATAGAAAAGCGACGTCACCGGCACCCGACCTAAATTTGCACAGTCTGACGTCGCTTCAGGTCAGATTTAGTTCGAAGTCAGATAGATGCTACTTGGGTGGTTGTTTGGTGAACCCTTATTCTTCCCATTGTTGTGACGACTATTTCAAATCAAGTCCCATAAGAGATATTTCTCCTCATCTCTACACTCTATACTTCAAATATGCACACACTGTTTTTTTTTATATGTTCCGTTAGATGCTGACCCGAATATTCGGGACTACAGCGGTCGTACTCCGGAGTACTACCTCCTAGCCAAGCAGCAGAAGGAGAACAACGTGCTGACAGTGAGGAGTGAGTATAAAACAACCGTCAAAAGTAGTGGGAAGGCTTCGACGCACGGCAGGTCTGATAAGAAAACGAAAAGCTTCAGGAACAAAACCATATCCCATCCCATGCTCATTAAATCCTCCAACTCCAAACCTTCCGTTACCTCCATTTTCCAGACTTATCCCACGTATCCTGGTTTGGCAAAGTAGATTTAGTGTTAAATATATTTTTTTAGAAGCATCGCATGCACCATACGCATATTTTTTATTATTTTTTCAAAAAAACTTACGACATGTTTGAACGACAGTTTTTTATGTCTATGACCCGCTTTATTTTTGGACTTTTTGTCTTTTAATGCCAATTTTTTTAGTCTATGATCCTTTTTGTTGTGATTTCGTTTAGTAGATTTATTTTTATTTAATTTTACTCAAAGTACAACGAGTTTCTAGAAATCAACTTTTCATTACTGTTTTATTTTTGTTTTTAAATCTGTTTCAAGTACAATGAATTGTTTTAACCTATACTGTATATATTTTGTGTGATTTTCATTTATAGTAGCTGAAGATCAGTATTTTTTTGTAAAGCAACAAAAAAAATAAATTTTATAGTTCTGTTTCAAGATTTGACAGCTATGTCCCACTTTACTGCCATTTTGTTTTAATAGAAAAAGTTATTCTAGGGTCTCCTTTAAGTACAAAGAGTATATTGATATATATTTTTATACTGTATACACACAGTATGTCCTCGAAGTGTCTTTACAAGGGGAAAACCTTTTTTATTATTGACATTTTGAAAAAAATGCATTCTACTAAAAATGTGATACAGCAAAAATATGACGTTAATCAAAATAAATAAACATCTATGAAGGAATGAAATCTAAATTATATATTTTTTTGTGAAACGGTATGGAAAATTTGGAAAAGTATAAACGTGATTAATAATTTTAGAACAAGCAAAATTTCTTATTAAGAATGCATTTTTTAAAAATGTCAATAATAAAAAAGTGTTTCCCTTTTTAAAGACAATCCGGGGACATACTGTATATTAGATGTCGTTTAGCAACAAGTTTTTACGTCTATGGACTACTTTTTTATTTTTCTTAAATCATAAAGTCCTGTTTTAAAGTTTTAGTTAGGACTATAAGTTTTCACTAAATACACATAAATAAATAATACAAAATTAATAAAAACTGATGTTTGAAGCAATTTTTTTACGTATATGACCCACCTTAATTCTATCAAGTTGTTATAAAAAAATAATTCTAATTTTTTTCTCAAAGTTTAGATGGCAAATGACTTCATACAACGAAATTATAAGAATATCTGTCATATTTAGATAAATAAAAAAACTAATAATTATATTTTAAATAATTTTACATCAATCTAGTCAATGTTCTAGGGTCAGTATTCTCTAATAGCTAACGAAATTACCAATAGTATTAATTGTATATATTTTTAGCTTTAAATTTCAGAGTACATCGATAACATGAGGCATGTTCATTGCTTTCTTTTGGCCAGGTCTGTACTTAGTTATTTTAATAAATCCCAAATTAGTCCTAGAGATACTTAATAGATAGAAACACATCTTTGCTATATTTTTATATTTTTTTCTTGGTAGAAACAGTGTAATAAACTTATATTTATATCAAAAACTATCAAATTTCAACTCAAAAAAAAAAATTTGACGTATTTTTGCACTGTTTTTACCACTAAAAAATGCTCATAATTTTATTATTTGGTGTCGGCCATTGCATGGTATATACACAATGTTTTAGAAAAATAAATATATATTTTTTATACAAAAATTTATTTTTATTTTACTAGAACATTTTGTATATAAAAAATTATTATTGTTATTTTAATCATACACAAATGTATTTTATTCTGTTATTTGTTATTTTATTATATGACTCTTATTGCATGAGTTGCGGATAATAAAATAAAGAAAAATGTCATTTTGTTTTAATTTTCTTTTTTCAGAAATTAAAGGAAGGAAAAAACAATCAGGTAAAGCAGGTATTTACTTTTTTTATTTTTAATTAAATAGTTCTGTATGTTGTTATACAGGGCGTGTCATAAATAAGCGTCAGCGATAAACGTCAGCGATGGCTATGAAATGAAGGAAATAAATATGGATGATTTTCGATCATAACGGTATTTGCAAAGCTAAATAGCTCGATTATTTTTATTTTATTTTAAAAATGATTAATAAAAATATTTTTTCTCTAGATCTACCACACTTAAAGTACTTGCTTGCACTTATTTATGAGACACCCTGTATATTAGTTTAGTTTACTATACCTGGTGCGTCAAAAATATTTTTTCTGTTTCTTAGACAAAGATTTAGGGTTTTTGAGGATAGGTTCGTTTAATGTGAGAGTAAAGAAAACCACAGAAGCATTCAGTAACTTTCTGGGAGTAGGAAGTAGCAGTTCTGTCACTCCTGTTGATTCAATGTCAGATAAAGTACACAAAGGATGGGGATCAGCAGATAATCTCAACAAAGTACTGTCACTATTATAGTAAAAGTCTTTTTAAGCATTTAATTTAATTTTTTTTGTCAGGAAATCATTATGGGACCTCCTAAAAACTACGGTTCTAGAAAAAAATCGAAGAAAAATGAGACATCGATGGGTAGTATACCATCAACGCCCAAGACACCCACAAAAAACTACTCTTCGACTAGTTTGCCTATCGCAAATACCAACAATGATTCGGATTCAGACAGTGCAGCTGGGTTTGATTCTAGTTGGAAAAAATAAAATATATTTTTTTGTATATTTTCTCAAAACATTCCTTATTTATTTATTGATAAATATATAAATATGTAAATAGGTATTGATAGAATGGCGAATAAGGCCAAAATGGTACGAGATTGTTCTATAAACAATTTAAAATATATACAGATTCTACAGTTTGTTTTGTTACATACATATTTGTATATATATTTTATTTTTGAGATTGATTTTTAAGTATATTTTTTAGAAATTTTTAAATGTCAGTTTTTCATTTTTTTTTCTAAAGGAACTTTTCTTAATTCTATCCAACATCCAGTGGGCCTAGTATTTTATAAAGCTCAGTAAAAGTTGTTCATAGCTGTTTGAAAGAAATGGCGAATGCGCTAGGATTCTATTAAGCTGCTTTCACGGTAATATTTTTTAAAAATGGAGTTCTTGAAAAAGCTTCAAAACGGTCGATAATCATGTGTGGATGATAACGGTAAGCTAAATAAGATTTCTTTGCTTTTTAATATATTTTCCACATATATTTTACGTTTGATATATTTAATACATATGTATTAGATATACCATGTGATCCAAAATAAATAAAAACGGCATCAAAGTTGGCTTTGAAATGAAAATCGCTGTCATTTTATATGTAAAATTATATTATGGAGAATATCATCGACCATCTTTTCCCAGCCAACTTGACGTCTTTTTTCGATTATACGGCATTATAGAGGTATCATAATGTATTCTATATAATTTGCCAATAACAATACGGTTATTTTTCTATTAGATAAGAATTATACTCTTGTTTTTAGAGTTATATATATATTTTATATAAAATAATTTTACTTATAGTTGAGATATATACACGTTTTTTTTTTAGGAAATGACGAATGCGCCAGTATTTTGTAGCTCATTCTATTTCAGAAAATGGCGAATGCGCTAGGATATCATTATAATACTTCTATAAAATAATTTTTTATTTTAATTCCATAACAAGGTAAGCGAAATAAAAAGACATTTGAATATACTTTTAAAAATATATTTATTTTCGGTAAAACACATAACAATTAAATGAAATTAAATTTTATTAAACTTAAACAACATTTTAAAACAATATAAAATAATTTAAAGTCTTATCAGTGCAATATATTATTTAATATCATCTCTTAATATCATTACACATTGTTTATTAATAATTTAATTGTATTGTTCCACTCTCTTCAGGCAAGATGATACGATCCAAGTGTATTTGGACCCAGTACACTTGGATGCTGCCTAGATATCCGTATAAGTAAATTCATATGGCAGTTAAGGTAGCATCTAAGTGTATTTGATCCAAGTACACTTGTACCGTGTCAACCGGGCTTTAATAAAAATAATTTCTCAAGAGACTTCACTCACACCATTCTCATTTTTTATTCCATTTGAACTAAGGGTGAGGGTAATTAAAAAAATAAAAGAGTTAGTATATTTCAAATAATTTATTTACGGAATACTTCAACAATACTGCAGTGTTATAAAAATTACCATTTTTTTGAGTTAATACAGATACACATTTTATTTCATTACAACAAATTCTTAATTACCTCTTTTTATTTTCTTATCTTTTACATTATTATATCAGTTTAGTAAGGGGTGTTTGGTATTTTTACTATAATGCATATCTTCTATATATTTTTTTTAAAGACATATCAAATGTGCAAGAATACCATAACTAATCCTTATATATAATATAATTCACATACATAACATCAATTATATTATATTCTTGGACATTTGCTATTTCTTTAAACAAGTTCTTATAAGGTGAGTACCCTGGAATATTAATCCATACCACATTTCCTTTACACTCTTATCACAACAATTCCCTTATCCTTCTAAAACATACCCATACAGAATACCATTTTGATCCTACTGCTTTATTTTTTATATAATCTATTACATATAGATTAGTTTATAGTGCTTTCTTTTAAAAATAATCCTACTTAAAATACATATTGCATTATAAACTAATCTTCATGTAACAAAGAACATCATTTAAAATAAAGCAGGAGTTTAAAATGGTATTTTTGCTCTTAGGGTATACCTTTAAATCCAGCCTCATTTTCCTTAATATACTTCCTTTAGTGTGGTTTCACACTATCCGGGTTTTTGTCCGTCCAGGCTATACCTGAAAGAATATTTCTTAGATTCCTTTTTGAGGCATCTGAGGAATATTCCTCCAGATATAATAGGATGGGGAGGAACTCTGATATTGTGAAACTCTACTAAACTATTCGGGTGTTTGTTTCCTTGCTGTTTTATCCGGAAGAATATTCCTCAGATATCTCCATCACACAATCTTCTGAGAAAGAGATTCCGAGGGTATTCGTTCAGATGAAAATCCAGCAAGTTAACAAACACTTGAATGGTACAACTCCTCCCCAAACTATCCGGGTGGTTGTTCTTCCGGTTTTTTATCCGGATGGACAATCCTCGGATTTCTTTTTTCATCCCTCATCCATGTTACATACATCCCTCATATATGCATCCTTTAATATTATCCATTCCTAATAAACCCTGCAATATTATTCCATCCTTATTTTACCCACCTACTATAAATCCACCCTTAGTCATATTTCCATTCTTCATACATCCACCATCAAATATATTTGATGGGTGAATGTATTAAGAATAGAAGACAAGGGTGGATATATGACTGGTGGGTATATTAAGGATTGAATAATAATGCTTCCTTCCTTCTACCTATTTTCATCCCTCATACATCCTTCTACATATTCTATTCCTAATATCCTATCATATACCCACCCTTTAATATATTTTCATCCCTAATACATCCACCAGGTCGGTCGATGTATTAGGGATGGAAATATAATATAAAGGTTGGAAATGATAAGATAATAGGAATAGAATATTACTAATATGCTCATCCATCATACTGATTAGTATATTAGTAGTGGAAAAGATGGTAAATTGATTACGTAATCATTACGTAATCGTTAATGTAATCGTTACGTAATCGATTGCGTAATCGTTATATAATCGTTACGTAATCGATTACATAATCGTTATATAATCATTACGTAATCGATTACGTAATCGTTATATAATCATTATGTAATCGTTATATAATCATTATGTAATAGTTATGTAATCATTACGTAATCGTTATGTAATCATTACGTAATCGTTATGCCGTGTTACGTAATCGTTACGTAATCATTACGTAATCATTATGTAATCGTTACGTAATCGTTACGTAATCATTACGTAATCGTTATATAATCGTTACGTAATCGTTATGTAATCATTACGTAATCGTTATGTAATTATTACGTAATCGTTATATAATCATTACGTAATCGTTATATAATCATTATGTAATCGTTATGTAATCATTACGTAATCGTTATGTAATCATTACGTAATCGTTATGTAATCATTACGTAATCGTTATATAATCATTACGTAATCGTTATATAATCATTATGTAATCGATTACGTAATCATTATGTAATCATTACGTAATCGTTATGTAATCATTACGTAATCGTTATGTAATCATTACGTAATCGTTATATAATCATTACGTAATCGTTATGTAATCGTTACGTAATCGTTATGTAATCGTTACGTAATCGTTACGTAATCATTACGTAATCATTATGTAATCATTACGTAATCGTTACGTAATCATTACGTAATCGTTATATAATCGTTACGTAATCGTTATGTAATCATTACGTAATCGTTATATAATCATTACGTAATCGTTATATAATCATTATGTAATCGATTACGTAATCATTACGCAATCTTTATGTAATCGATTACATAATTACATTATTACATTATTTGTTATGATTATTTAACATATTTCCATTTATACTTATATGCCAAGTGGATATATTTGGGATTGAATAATAAGTCTTCCTCCCTTCTACGTATTTTCATTACCTGATACATCCATCCACCCTTCCACATATTCTGTTCCTAATATCATTTCCAACCTTTATATTATATTTCCATCTCTAATACATCGACCTACCTGGTGGATGTATTAGGGATGGAAATATATTAAAGGGTGGATATATATGATAGGATATTAGGAATAGAATATGTAGAAGGATGTGTGAGGGATGAAAATAGGTAGAAGGGAAGGATGCATTATTATTCAATCCTTAATATATCCACCAGTCATATATCCACCCTTGTCTTCTATTCTTAATACATTCACCCATCAAATATTTTTGATGGGAGATGTATAAAGAATGGAAATACGAATCAGGGTGAATTTATATTAGGTGGGTATAATAAGGATAGAATAGTGTTACAGGATCTATTAGGAATGGATAATATTAAAGGGTTTATATATTTTCATTCCTGGTACATCCACCGTTCTACATAATTTATTCCTAATGTCCTATCAGGAATAGGAATATCGTGAAGGGTGTACATATCATTTAGGCATGTACCAGGGATATCATATCCCAATACATACATCCAAGATATATACACCCTTCGAGATATTTCTATTCCTAATCAGAGATCCATCCCTCAAAGGTCCTCCCTAATTTTTCATTCCTAATACATCCACCAAGTTGGGTCGATGTATTAGGAATGGAAAAATTAAAGGGTGGATCTATGAAAGGATATTAGGAATAGATTATGTGGAAGGGTGGATCTATCAGGGAATGAAAATACATAGAAGGGAGAAAGACTTATTATTCAATCCCAAATATATCCACTTGGCATGTAAGTATAGATGGAAATATGTTGAAATGTGGTATCGGGGATAAAAATAACTTTAATTGACGCTCAAAATATTTTCATCTCTAATACATTCATTCATTACTTATCCATAAATTTGGATGTATAATGAATGAACGGATCGAAGATAGAAATATTGTGATGGGTGGATATATATTAAGTGGATATATAAGGGATAAAATACGGAATATATGTATAAGGATGCATTTAAGAGGTACAAAAATATGGAGAAGGGTATTTAAGATGTAGTATCGGTGAAATTGAAGGATGAAGGAAGAAGAATGATATAGGATATGAAGTGAAGAGACACCTGAAATGTAAATAAATTAATAAAATAAAAAATAATGATCAAGTAATAATCGTAATCCTTCATACTATTATATGATTGGATAACTGTAATCATAGAATGCCATGAAAGATTAAGATCTATTACTGTCACAAAGAAATATAAATATAAAACAAAATTAAAGCAAACAAATATAATCATAAATATAGAATGATAAAATTAATAAAAATATAGTTTAGCCCCAAGAGAATCAGGATAAAATTTGGGGGCAAAATAAAACATTGCTTGGCTTTTTCAAATGACTTTAATTTGAACTATTCTTTAACTCTTGTACAGGGATTTAAGTTTTGATTCATCTTTGATTTATCGGTACACCTAACAATGTAAACGGCCGAGGTACTTCGAAGGAATGGGCGTGTCAATAGACAGTCCAAGAACCGTACCTCGGCCCGTTCAAGTCTTATTACGAGTTTAATAAAAAATACAAAATAACATGTACAATGATAGAAAAAGTTTCCAAAGTCGTCTTTTCGAAATAGTCATATATAATAGTAACAAAGGCAGACAACACAACAATATATATCATATATTTTTGATTCTCTTTTTTGTATAAAATTGTGATTTATTTGAAAAACTATAATATATTACAAAACATTTGAGGAAAGGGCAATACATATATTTTGTTGGCACTGAAAGATTTTTTTAATCTAAGTATAAATAAATTTTGGAGCTGTGATGATTTGATTTAAGAAGATACTGGATTCGAATATATATGCCCTTCCCTCCGCTAGATTATCTGGAGGATAGTGACAGACGTATGGCATCAATTCAGGGTAGAAAGTACCAAAGACTTCTGGGTAATCAACAATGAACCCTGATGAAGGAAAAATGCTTTCAAGATGAAAAATATTTCTTAATAAAATTGCACTTATTTTCTATCTGTGTATTTTTAACCCTTTGTATATCCCTTCCTTGTTAGTAGATTATGTGTTAAAGCTTTTGGAAAAAGAAATTAATTAAATATAAAGAAAGTGATCAAGTAAGAACCTAAAATATGATAAGACCTTTGTGTTGAATTCTGAGGTCTAAGGAAATATATAGATATAATAAACTATACAGGGTGTCTGAGAAATAAATGCAAGTATTTTAACTGGTAGTATAGTTAAACTCCAGAAACACGCCTATGAGGTTTATTACGCGAAAAAAAATTTGAAAATTTGAAATTTTTTGAAAAAATTTTTGGAAATTTTTTTAGTTTTTAGTTAAAATACATAATTTCTTGATAATATGGCAACATAAGTGTTATATTAAATTTACAAGAAAGGAAATCCAGAAAAGAAGTTGGTTGTCAAAATTTTAGCAAAAAATTATCTTTTTTGGAAATTTTCAATGTAAAATAACTCCGTTTTTTTGGACTTATTTGAAAAACGATAAAGAGAAAATATGTTTCTTTTATCGAGATCTACCACTCCTTAAAATACTTGCACTTGTTTCTGGGACACCCTGTATATGCTGTGTCAAATAAAAATTGCAAAATCCAAAATTCTTTTAAATACATTTGTTTGAAATAAATGTCTACGATTATTTTTTCATATTTATCCCAACTACCTACTTCCTAAAATATTAATGAAAAGAAAATATATTTGCATTTACTGGGTGTTGCGATTTCTATGTCACACAGTATATAAAAAAAAGAAATATCACACTAGTAATACCGTATGATAAAAAAAACTGTGTCAAAGATAGCTGGAAAATGACAATCGATGATAATTTTGGAGAGGTCAATCTCTTAGACGTCCTTTAAAAACTGACTGTTTAAGACATTATAATGCTGGAAGTACACAAGGTAATTATATTAAACAGGTTGCCTCGAAACTTTGGACCAATCACAGTAGTTGGCGCGATGACGTCAGCTAGCGTGATATTTAAAATAACTATTAACAAAATGTTTAATATTAATAACAATTCCACAAGTTAGATTGTTTTTCTATAAAGTCTTTATTTATTTTTATCTAATTTTGCCGACATTTAACATTTCCAAGCAATATTTTTATTCGAAAAAAAAATAGTTTTAGCTTTTTACCACGTTAAAATATCGCGAACCAGTCGAAACTGTTACAGGTAAGAATGATCTCCATTTCTAAGGAAAATTTGATAAATGATTTTAAAAAACTATCTAGTTCATCAATCTTACGTTAATACGTTAGTTACACTAAAACTTTAAAAATATAATATATCCACTAAAACTGTCTTTAATCCACTAAAATGAGATTAATACACGGAAAACCTTCGTAAAACAATGTAAAATTATTTGTAAACAAACAAGCTGAAAACTGCTGAGTACCAGACGATGATGCGCAATATGGCGGCTAATGTCAAGTTACGATATGTACATTATTATTGGTTAGAACCGTCCTTTTTGTCCCTCCTCGGCGAGTGTGTAGGTACTTCCAGCATAAGAATATGCGATGGAGACCAGAACAAAAAGTAAGTTGGTTCTTTGTTACTGGAAACAAAGAATAAAAAATATCTCTACACTAGTAATATTACTGACAAAAAAACAGTAAGATTTAGATACACGTATGTTATTATAAAAAGTATAGAAAGATTGAAAATTGATTCATAGAAGTAGCAAAGAATAGAGAATATCTTTATACCAGTGCTACTTTACTGCTAAAAAAACAGGAATTACTAAATACACCGTATTATAAAAAAAATGAATAGAAGAAACAAAGGGAACAATCAAAACCATTGAATAAAAAGACTAAGAAATGATAAAAATGTGTAATGTTTTTATAAAAAACCTTTTTGAATAAAACAATTTTGCTCTTTTCTGTGCATCCAATCTTTGTCTTTTTATTCAATGATTAAAATATTAAAAAAAATCCAAAGGTTCAGTGCCAATCTCCAAGAAGTCTCTTCTTTTAACCTCTAATATATATATTATATAATTTTGGCAGTAAAGTCTCTTAATTTAACACGAATATTCCGAAATTTCACCCCAAAAAACCCTATCTGTCACTACCCCCTCCACCTTCACCCGTTATTTTCCCGTCACTCACCCCTCTTAGACCGCAATGGAGTAGTCCGACGGAGGCTGCTGGCCACCGCCGCCTCCCTGTTGGCCACCGGCCTGCGGCCTGGCCCACAGCGAGCTGCGCAGGCCCAGCTTGAGCTTCTTGAGCGTGTCGATGTCGCACTCGGCCTCGCTCAGCTCGATTTGGCCACCGCCTTGGCCGGGGGGTGTGGTGGTGGCCGATTCGCTGAAGACCGTTTCCGCCACAGAGAGGTGGCTCAGGATGTGCCTTTGGGAGCCTGAGCGACCCTGGGCGCCGAACCTATACAAACTATGAGGAGTTAGAGAGAATGGGGGATGGGGGTAATAAGGGTGAGACGTAGGGATGTCCATAAGAAAAAAACATATCAGTTTTCTTTTATAGAGATTTACCCCTGATTATACATGATATAGAATATTTACGCTGTAGGTAACCACCTAACTATCCAATCGACAAAAAAGTTAAAAAACTATAAAATTAATCCATTTGACATTATCTGATTATTATTATCCACGTCGCAAGAATAATTCAGGGTTTATAAATTATCGCTAGTCAAACTTCTTCAATATTATTAATTATCTATTATTACCTAGTATATTATTAATTATACAGCATATATATAGGTAGTGAAGCCCTTTTTCACAAAGGACGCAACAAAAATTAAAATTAAATATAGTATACAGTAGTTTCTATCTTTTTATGTTTATTACTGTAAATTTTAAGCATAGCATAGTTATACAGGGTGTCCCAGAAATAAGTGCAAGTATTTAACGGGTAGTATAGTTCAACCCCAGAAACACGCCTATGAGGGATTTTTTTCGAAAGTTTTTTTTGAAATTTATTTAGTTTTTATTTAAAAAAAATTTCTTGATAATATGGCAACATTGGTAGTAGATTAAATTTACAAGAAAATTCAGAAGTGGTTCTCAAAATTTGAGCAAAAATCATTTTTTGGAAATTTTCAAAGTAAAATAACTCCGTTATTTTGGACTTATTTGAAAAACAATAAAGAGAAAATATGTTTCTTTATTGTTTTTCAAACTTATTTCTGGGACACCCTGTACAAAAAAAAAAATACGTCTATTCCACCACACTAACATCGAAAGGAATAAAAAAAAAACAGTCACAGAAAAATGCCTGGAATTATTGAAATAATTTTGTAACTTACTACAAATCTAGATATCAACAAACCTCCAAAAGGTATTTTGAAGATTTGTTGACGTTGAGCTAATTTTTGCAGTATCTGTTAATTAAAACGTTTTGAAAAATTATGGTATTTTTATCCAAAAAAATTCCAGCCCATTTTCGAAAATTTCGCCATAGAAAAGTTGACAAATTCTTCATAATTAAGTAACACAAAAAATTACATAACTATTTCAATAGTTTCACTACATAATAATATGTAGGCTAGCCTCAAACCTATCTGCGATTCAAATAGATATATTTTTAAGGAAATCGATATTTTTCCTAATAAATCGATATGTTTGGACATCCCTAGTGATTCTATGGTTCGTCTCACCTGTTCCTGTTGCGCCTTGGCAGTGACTTTTGCTCAGACATGGGCGACAAGTCGGAAGACGTGCTGGACTGGGCCGTGCCATGGTAGGTGAAGGCTTAATAGTAATAATACCCTTTATTGCTCATTAGTATTACTCAGCTACTTATAATGATATGACAATAACGAAAAAAAATGCAAAAATGTGTATGCAACCTAAAGTATACTTATATTTTTTTATATTCTCTTAATATATTATTTTTTATAAAGGGCATTATAATAAAACTAGTATTGATTTAAAACTATTAAAAAAATACACTAGTCAACATAAAAATATTTCTGTACAGGGTTTATCAATTAATAAATAAGAATTTCTACATGACTAAAAATTAAATAAATTGTAAATTCGCTCAAAGAGATTAATTTTAAACGAATTACGTATTTTGTTGGGGATTGGCGTTTATATGTTAGAATTAAAATATTAAAAAATATATACTGATTATCACTGGGTTGAAATGAATGAATACAATTTACATTTTGACGTTACCTGGTGCTTTATGTTTCATGTCCAGTTGATTTGATGACTCGGTACGACTGGAAGTGAGCGCCTCTTGGTCAGATTCACTTTCGTCACTGTCGATGTCCTTCCTGTTGGCCCTTCTGCGGCCGTGGCCCTTTGTACTTTGAAATTTTTGCTTCAAAAACAGACAAAAAGAACGTGTTTGTATCTGTTTTTTTTTTAATCCTTACCTTGTTTTATAAAGTTATACATGACATTATAGATTTTTATTATCTTATCTATAATTTGAAAACTTAACTTCAAGAAAGATAATACTACTTTGTGTGATTTTCTTATTTTTTTACTTTTATCCCAACACCTACACAAAAAAAAACTTTCTCTTTTTTTGAAGAAAAATTTCAGATTATAATAAAAGCATAGAAATATATACAGTATTATTTAAAATCAACTAAAATTAAAATTTCTTTTGCGGGTTTCAAATGTATTTTGGTTTACATCTTAGTTCTTCACAAAGAAGGTTATTATATTGCTGTAACATGATTATTATTGTTGTTGTTTATTAAGAAAATATGATGAGGCTTATTTATTAATAAAAATTCTTGAAAATATTATATTTGAGTTTGATTTAACCTCCTTAAAAAAGAAAATAAAGCAGAAAATATACATTAAGAACACAGTATGATCAAAAAGTTTTCTTATCAATCAAGTGTGGCTTTAAACTTCAACAGTTCAACAAATTTTAATGAAATTTTCTCTTAAGATTTTATAAGACCCACTTAATCGTAATACTTTTTATCATAATATGGTACTTCGACAAGGCACTGAAGCTGGTCTATAACGATCACAAAACCACCAAAAAAAGCAATATAAAATATGTTTAACATCAAATTTTTAGCGACAATCTACACAAAGACCTTAGGATGAACATACCGATCTGATTTTTTTATAAATATAAAATTATATAACAAAACTATCGAAAAAAAAATAAATATCAGTAAAAACTTTGTATTTTCATCCTTACAGCCAAATTTAAAGGACGTACTACACCTATATTTGTCACTTGTAGGTACATACTATGTTGTAATATGGTGATTCCGTGCGTTTTTTAGTCTGTTTCTAAACAAAAGAAAACCTTATTAACTACCTTAACAATATAAAGGAGCTCCCACACCTCCGTTTTTAACGTACGGTCAAAACCGTACAAAACAACCGAAGCGTAGGAATAATTTAAAACACATAGAAAACTTACGATATTATAGTAAGGTGAGTTTCGTTGTACAGAGCTGGAAGGCGGTGGGGAGGCACATCCTTCAGTTACAGGGTGTTCGTGGTACATAAAACTGTGCAGCATGGTGTTCTGAGGAAGGGTGCTCGGTTCGGATAATTGAAACGTTGCATAGGGTGATATGTCTTCGGAGGTTTCTGCAAAAACAAAAAAATCTTGATGAAATAATTAAAAAAACGTTAAAAATATTGAAGGCCAGTGAAAGAAGAAAACTTAGAGGAGCCTTGAGGCTCAACTTTCGTTTAGCTGAAATCTGTTATATAAAAAATGACTTTATATATGCGTTCAAGAAGGCGTTAGGAGTACCTACGTAAATAGGGCTGATTCAAAACAAAAAATCATTGGATCATGCTGTTTTTTTATATTTTAATAATTAACTGTGATTTTGCAAAAATATTATTAGATTGGTTAGGATTTGGGTTGCTTTGGTTACCTTTTCTTTGTGGAGGGTGTTAAGCTGTGGTTTTTATATTTTAATAATTAACTGTGATTTTGTAAAAATATTATTAGATTTATTATTAGATTGGTTAGCATTTTAGACACTTTTAAATTTTTTTTTTCGTTCAAAAGTGCTTCATCCAAGGATTTTTTTCTTCTAAACTGTTCTATAAGCATAGGATTTTCTGCCAAAAAAATTGCTAAATTCGTGGGTACTTATACTTTACAAGACCCGATAATATAATAAGGAACAAATGAAAAATGAAAAGCAAGCATTTCCGCAGGAAATTTTTTATTTTCCTGAGTTTGTAAACGCTTCTAAAAGGCAACAATATATTTATTTTTTATATAACTGATTTCAGTTATTCTAAAGTCTATTAAATTTCCTCAGAAAATGGATACAATTTATTTCCGCAGGAAAATTTTTATTTTCCTCAATTCGTGAATGCTTTTAAAAGGCAAAAATGTATTTATTTTTTATATAACTGATTTCAGCTATTCTAAAGTCTAATACATTTCCTTAGAAAATGAAAACCACTTATTTCCGCAGGAAAATTTTTAAAAAGAATAAATAATAATAATTAATTTTTATTTTTATTTTTTTAATTTTTAATTTTTTTTATTTTTTAATTTTTAATTTTTAAATTTTTAATTTTTTTTTTTATTTTTTTTTTTATTATGTTCAGAAAAATATTAAAAATAAAACGCAAAATGTATTTTTTTATAGCAGATTTCAGTTATTCTAAAGTGCGAAATTTGGAAATTACGCATTTCCGCATGAAAATTTGTGTTTTCCGTGGTTCACGGTAGCTTTTTAAAGACAATTTTTTTTCTAACAACTGATTTCAGCTAAACGAAAGAACTATACCAGGACTATATAAAAACCGTATATTATTTTTTTAACATAAATATATATATTTCTCTCTGTATTTAAAAAACCTACCTGGTATTTTTTCACCAGCTTGCAGTGCCACCTTGTGAATGGTGGCATAATATCTTTCTCGTTGTGCCTCAGCGTTCTGCTGATTGTCCAGATGCTCTCTTGCGTTCTCTTTCCGTCCTGAAAGCATAGATGGCGCTATTACTAAATCAATACCCTTCTAAAATACAAAGGCACAAGGCCGAATGGGACAATATCGATTGTGGAAAAATAAAATAGATTTAATTTTTATAACGAAATATTTTTCCTTATCATTATTTCTTTTATATACCATGTTATATAAAGAATCTTTTAGAAATTGGTAAAAAACTTCACATTACTATGTGTTCGCAAGTTAAAAATATGTTATTCATAATTTTCCTGTATCTGATTCGCCTTTTACATGCTAAATATGAAGTTATTAAAAAAGTTACTTAAAAAATTATTTACAAAAATTAATATGTCATGTGTTACTGTAAAATACGTTCTTCTAAAATTTATTCGATGAAAAATAAATATATAGAATGTTTAGCCATCGTCCAACGTCACGTCATATATTGTCGAACTCTCTCGATCACTTGCCAACCAGATGAAATAGATTGGTGACGTCATTACGGCACTTCGTAAATTACTGCATATTCTTTTTAGTAACTGTCATTGTCATTTGATTCGGGGTAATAATTTTATTGACGGAGATCGATCAGTGTCAAAATTAAAATTTGATTGTTGACGCACTTAAAATATAATATAAATAATATATAAAACGTACTTAAAATTTTCTAAACAATATGAACTGATCTCAGACACACCATAAAACTCATATTTGACAAATAATGATGACGTAACAGTGAAAGATAGCTGAACAGTCTTTAAAATCTATTTATATAGTTACTATAACTATAAAAAAGATATCTAAAATAAAAAAATAAATCTGAATAAGTAAAACAAACTGGGTTTAGTTACCAGCACCTATAAAGAAGATTATACTAAAAAGAGTTGTACTTACGTCTTCTAATACACACAGCGATCCCGATAAGAAGTACCTTGGCCAGTCCCACGACAATGATAAAAGGAATCAGTACCTTCCAGTCGGAGTAAAAAGGCTTATCGTCGTTTCCCTGCCTTATCAGGTCGGGAGGCGGTACGTCGCCATCTTTCGTCAGCGTCATGAAGCTGAATTCTTCGGTGCTGAAACCAGCTACGTTGTGCGCCTCCAGCTTCACGACGTATTTCGTAGCTGTGGTCAGACCGGTGATCGATGTCCTTCTTTGAGGTTTGAGGGCATTGGAGACTATTGCATTGAAGATACAAAAATAAACTAACTGGTCAAGAAAAAAACGAGTTTACGAAATTGCAAGTTCATCAAACAGAACTGTCAAAAACGGAGATTAATGATCTCGATTTCGCCTCTAATGCGTGAATGCATAGCATTATTAAAGAATAACGTTAAAAATTCAGTTTAGTTAAATGCTTATTTAGGTAAAAAATTTTATTAGAGAAAAGACTTATTTTTATTTACCTAAAGTCCACTGGCTATCAGTCGCTTTCCTGTATTGTAACACAAAATACAAAATAGGACAGCCATTATCTGGCCATACATGTAAACGCAGCGTTACACTGGTTGAATTTGGACTGATAAAAGACAGTGCCGGCGGTACTCCAGGAGGATGACCTTGAGTCCTGGCCTGTAACGGATGACTGGGAGGACTGGGTCCTATTTTATTGTGAGCTGTCAAATAGAGGTGGTACGTGGAACCACAAGAGAGACCCTAAAACAATAAGCATATCTTCTGTTAGTACTTTTACCATTTGTTTACCGATATACTTTATAAAAAAAATCATGGAGAGTCATGCTTGTTTATAATTTTTAGAGATAATATCTGAAAGAAAATTATACCATATGTGTGTGAAAAAAATAATAAAATTAAAAATAAATAATTTATATCTACCTTCAATTCAAAGCTGGTGGCATGTCGAGATAAATGAACTTCGTCCAAATCTCCATGTTCTTTCCTGCAACAAAAAAAAAACGAAAACACTTTTAAAAAATAAAACAAAAAAAATATTTAATACTAACCTATAATTCAGATGAAACCCACTGATGGCAGCTCCTCCATTATTTCCCGGCTTCCAATGGAGTAAAATACTCGAACTGGTCGCCGAGGTAACATAGAGTAAAGGAGCACTTGGTGGTACTTGAACCACCAAATTATATGTAATCCTGAAAAAAGTTACGTTACCGGCATTCCAAGTGAAGAAAAAAATATCAAAATAATCTAACCTATCAGTTCCATGCCCGTTGTCAACTTTACAAGTATAATTTCCTGCGTCAGTAATCTGTAGGCTAGATAGAATCAGCTCTCCTGTATCGAGAAGTTGCTGATTATGGTTTGCTCCACCCTAAAAATCAATTTTTATCAAAAATAACGTAAAAAATTAAAAAAAATTAAACAGACCTTCAAAATTTGGTCACTCCGTAGCCATTCTCTTCTAGGACTGCCCACAGATTCGCAACTAAAAGAAACGGTGGTTCTCCACGGTCGTACTACCAGGCCTCCAAATGATATTATTCTTGCTGGTACTAAAGGAAAAAGAAAATAAAAAACAATTGTATTAAAAATAATCAAAAAGTGTGTACAGGCCTGTCGTTTAACAAAAAAATGTGAATACATTTTGATGCACATTTTGTGTCAACCGACAGGCCTACACACATTTTCATATTTTTCAGATACTAAAATACTATATGGATTTTTGCATGTTCAATTTCTATCTTCCTATTATAGTTCTATTCTCCCAAAAAAGAAGGATAATAAAATTTCATGTTCATTTACATATTAGGGTGAGCCTTAAATACGTGCACATATTCCACAGAGCTGGTAGAAATGAATTTTGTCCTGAGAACCACGATTTTCCATCTAAATTTACTCTACTATAGTCTGTAAACGAATAACTTTGAATTTGACAGTTCCGGCGGGCTTCTCTAGTGTTAATTTTTATTAGGTTAGGCAACTTGCGGCCATGCTGGCGCAATGCCGTTTCTAATAGAACAGCCTCGGAGCGAGATTTATGACGTCACGCCAGTTAGATACCACGGATTAATAAATATGTTGTAGAATACTGGAAAACATAATTATTCCTCGTATTTTTAGTTTGTATTTTTAAAATGATATAGTTTATATGAAATATAAAGACACATACAGTTATTAAATAATATATATATATATATATATATATATATATATATATATATATATATATATATATATATATATATATATATATATATATATATATATATATATATATATATATATATATATATAATATATATATATATATATACCTATTTAGTAATAATTGCTAGATAAACTATGAACCATACAAAAGCAGCAAATGTTTTACAATATGGTTGAAATCGTACTCAATAGTCAATGTAGATAGTTTTGTGTTAAGAATAATACTTAAAAAATATGTGGTCATCTTTTGACAAGTTTATATTAGTTTATTAACTCGCAAACATTATAATATATAAATAAATTTGTTAATGCAAATAATAATACATCACTATTATATAACTTACTATTCACTACTATAATCACTATTTATAGATATTGAATGTTTTTGTTAAATAAAAAAAAAAAAAAAAAAAAAACAATATATTTTACATTTTACTCCATTATCTTATGTACCGCCTATTCATGTTTGTATATTTAAAACATTTGTTGCATATGTATAGTTCATAGTTTATTTGCCAAAGTATTATTACTATAAATATATATATTATAGTTGTATTTATTAACTACTGTATATTATGTATATTTCATGTAAACTATGTACTATGTATACTATGTATATAAAACATCATTTTTAAAATACGAACCAAAAATACGAGGAATAATTATGTTTTTCATGTATTCTACAACATATTTATTAATCCGTGGTATCTAACTAGCGTGACGTCATAAATCTCGCCTGTGGCTGTTCTATTAGGGACGACAAGGGGATATATAGAATAAGGATATTCGACTGGACCAAAAAAAACGTGCCGTATTTTGTCGAGGAAGAAGATTTCGTCACGACCAATGGGCGTCGAGTATTTGAAATTGAAAACATATAAATTGACGGTAACCTATGTTTTTGACTCATTTGACTGACAAATGTGATGAGATTGTTATTGTTATTTATAGATCCAAAATCTAAACGTTTTTTTTTTTATTTTAATTTTAAAGTTATTTCCTAGAGGTTTGGTTTGGCCTTCTATATTATGGTATTTGTCTACTAATAAATAATATCTATTTTAGCTTTGATGTATGGAAATCCGCAAGTTTTGTATCTGAAGCCGCAAAGAAATTCGCTCTATAGTGAGAAAATGTTATATCTTTTAGACGCGTAGAATAACAAAATTTCTTATTTCAGATGTTCTATATGTGAGTGCTTAATGTCAAAAATTAAAAATATATACTTGAAATATTTCAAGTTATACCCTTTGCCCTTTGTAAGTAAACAAATATTGAAGAAAGTGTTGTGCCTTCACAGAATTTAAATTGTCATTAGGAATAGATTTCCATGATTTAGTAATGATATTGCTCATAGAAATTGATAATATACTATTTTATATTCACTCGTTCAAGTGTTGATCTATTTTAAATTGAATATTTATGTAAGTATTATGTATAACACGATATAAATAATTTAAGGACATAAGAAATCAAAATTTCATGCCATTATTGATTATTTTTCCAGTTTTATTCAAATATATTGAAATTAATATGGAAACAAAAGTTCATAAATATTAGTTTGAAAAGCCATGTCAGAAGAGTACGATTAAAGACAAAGTATTAAGGTAACATATATTTGCATAAAGTTTTAATAACACTTAATAATTTTATTTATTATTTATTAATTAAATTTAGTTGCAATTTATTTCATATTCTATATTTTGAGAAAATTTTACTTAGATACATACCTGAATATTATGCTGCTTTCTTTTTATTTTAGTGTGCCGACTGTGCTGTTATTTTTATACTAGTAATATTGTATACTGTAGGTATCGTATTCATATGTAGTTATATATATGTCAGTATATATACTTACTTTCTTTCTATGTGTACTTATATCCTTAATAGTCTTTCTAAGTGCATATAATACTACTTTTTAAAGAAGGTAGTTTTTAATAATCTATTGTTAATTCCCCTAATTATGTGTCCCCTGGTTCTGCTATACAACATTTATATATTTTTTATCATTACTGATTTTAAAAGTATCTTTTCAAAGAATTTGACCATAAGTATTTTTTTTTTCAGAGTAATTGGCTGTTCCTGAACAATATTGGATATAAATATTCAAAAATATGATTGATAACTGCATATCCTACTAAGTAGATCAATACCAAAATCCCATTAGAGAAATAAGTTAAAATTATGTTTTACTTGTATAATTTTCTTTGCTATTGTCCGTAATTCATTATTTGTGACTTAGAAATTAAATAGTCAAAAAGAATTTAGTACCAGTTTTTATTTCCAAAAAATTACAAATAATTACATATTGCTTAAGATACAGTATATTATATTGTGTTTATAGTTGATAATTTTAGTTCTTAGTTGTTTATAGTTGATAATTAACAAGATTTCTGATGTTAGATATTATATTAAAAAATGAAACATAGCTACCTACCTATGTAGCTGCAGATTATATATTGTGTAGGTACTGTATAATTCTTTAGTTCAAGAAACAAATATCAGGCAATATAACCAAAAAATGTTGATGCAAATTCTTTGTATAACATACGTACCTCTATGGTATTCAACTTTTCATTGTTCTTTTAATTAGATACACAATAAGCACATTAATTCGTTTATTAAACAACCAAAACTCTAACTACTTAAATTCACAATATAAATATCACAATAAATGTATAAGCTTTGATCAATACCTATTATTATTAATACCTGACGACTTCACACTTTATAACTACTAATGGTTATCCTACTAACACACTAGCCAACTAATAATAAATCTGTTCTAAAAAATACAACATAAAGACATCGTTATTGCAATAATATAGAAATATATTCCATGTATCATTAACTACATATAAATACAATACCCACATCTTCTTTTACGCGAATAGTGCGTTAGGAGGCAGAAATATTGCCTGCATTGTACATCGTACAAATTGGCTAGAATTTATTAATATCCATTGCAAACATTTCTCTTTCAAAGGGTCTAAACAAGTCTAAATGTTTTGTCTTTTTACTGTGTCCCTGTAATATGTTATCAATTAACAACAGTTATCAAATGACCTGGACAATAATAATTGTTTTACCTTTTTTTCAAACTAAACTCTTTAAACAAACTAGGTATATAAATAAATTTATCTCTATAACCCAACTTGTTGCTAATTTCTTTTCTTGTTATTCTATGTTCCTGTATTGTTATTCTTCACATTATCAATTTCTATGAGCAATATCATTACTAAATCAAGGAAATCTATTCCTAATGCCAATTTAAATTGTGAAGGCACAACACTTTCTTCAATATTTGTTTACTTCCAAAAATTGTCAAAGCATATAACTTGAAATAATATATCAAGTATAGGTTTAAATTTTTTGACATGCACTCACATTTAGAACATCTGAGATAAGAAATTTTGTAATTCTACACGTCTAAAAAGATATAATAATATTTTTCTCACTAGAGCGAAATTTCTTTGCGGTTTCAGATACAAAACTTGCTGATTTCCATACATCGAAATACAAAAATAAGATATTATTTATTAGTAGGTAAATACCAAAATAGAGAAGGCCAAACCAAACTCTAGGAAATAACTTTAAAATACATTATTTTTTCAAAAAAACGTTTGATCTATAAATTACAATGGTTAATCCCATCATCGCATCTGTCAGTGAAATGATTCAAAAAACATAGGTTACTGTCAATTTATATGTTTTCACTTTCAAATACTAGACGCCCATTGGTCGTGACGAAATCGTCTTCCTCGACAAAATACGGCATATTTTCCAACATAGCCCGATAGGGAGTTGAATATCCTTCTTCTATATATCATCCTTGTAGGGACACGGCATTGGTCTAATATTTAGAAATGTCAAAGCTGATGACATTTTACTTTTGTCAATTATGACATTTCGTGTTGATTTTTGCAAGAAGAGGAAGAACTGTCACTTGTTTTATTATTTTCCTTTTTCTATTTCACGAAAGTAAAAAGATTTACCGATCTGATTCGTTCAGGCACTCAATTTAAAGAATATCAGTAACTCTTTTGACAGAGGGATTTATATTTCATATGTTGGTAAAAATAACGGTCAAATTCAAAGTTATATTCATAGACTATACCTATACTGTCGTTTTATCAAATCAAAATTTTATCAAATTTTTGATATAAAATTTATCAAAAATTTTTCTGCTAAAAAACTTCAGGTTCCTGTGATCTAAAGAAACTATACTACCTCTAAAATTATATGCACTTATTTAAGACTCACCCTGTAGAACTTTACGTGGTAGATTAGATATTCATAGACAATAAATAATATCAATTTTAACCACAAAGTATGTAGGTGTGAAATCATCGTGCTATCAAAAAGGAAATGAGGTGTAGTATTTTAATGTAATTCTTTAGTAGTATATTTTTATATTCTGCTTCAATAAAGATGCAATGCCTAGATATATTTATTTTAGATCTGTTTAATTTAATAAATAACTATATAACTTAATATTTCTACTTACTTCTTGACGTAATCACCTGCGTCACAACTTTAGAACTTTGACCCTCCCCTATTCTAGTTGATGCCGTCACCCAGAATTGGTACTCCAAATGCTGTTGCACGTTCTTCACTTCAAACACTGTATTATGACTGGAAATGATCTGCCTACCATTTTCAGCCTCCTGTCGACCATCAGGAGCTCTCCTGTAAACAATCAATCGTTTTTTTTTTAATTCAGTTCATTATATAGCTTTAAAAAGTACAACCTGTATAAATTGTACTTGGTTACGATCCCGTTGGGTTCTAAAGGTGCCAGCCAGGACACTTTCAAAGACTGCGGCGTTGCCACCACCACCTTAATATCAGTAGAGATCCTGAACTGAAACAAAAATAAAATTTTTAATAGACCCATAAAGACTAATATTTTAAACTAAATTTTTTATTTTGCTTCAGAATTTTTTGACCTGTATAAAAAAGTTCATGTACGGTAGGGGTACTTAGGGGGTGCAAAATTTCCCCCCTTTAATGAGTAAATCACAAAATTCCCGCTTGACCTACCCTACTACAAATGATAGTAATAAATATTAAAATTTTGAAAATATTTTTTTTTTTTTTTTTTTTTTTTTATTATATATTATTAGTGGAGTGCTTTAAACCCTTATGAGATACAAACCTCGGAATTCCTTTACTGTGAACGAATTTTATAAAACTTTTGCATTGTATTGTTAATAAGATATATTACAAAATTTTTTTTAATAAAATTTCTATACATACAAGATGGTCTGCTTTCCGGAAAAGCTCTGTATCAGGATTCTATTTGAGATTTTCACTCCAAACCTTTTACAAAATATATGTTTAATGGTAGTTCACATTTCAAAATATTTTTATAGATATACAGGGTGAGTCAAATATATATCATTTATTTATCTGAGTTTGTGAATTTGCTATAAAATTCTGGTTCTAAAAATACCTTAATACCATAGAGTACATTGTCTTGAATTACGACGATGTCCATGAGGACGTCAATACAGACGTCCAGGAACATTCGTATGAGAACTTCTAATCGAGACGATCGACTTATTGTAAGTTTATCTAAGAAACCGCCGTTTGTCAGCTTTTCAAATTGATAATGAATTGCATTTAAGAACCGTACATATTGAACTAACGGACTACAAAAAGAAGATTAAATGAAGCAAATCTATGTCATAGCTGGCCTGCTTCCGGACCAGAACTTACTAGATGTGTTGACTGGGCCCAAAAGCAAAGGCATGGTCTTAATGTAAAAATACGAAAAATGTTAATGCCTTTTTAAAATCGAATATTTCCAACAAAATAAAGCTAATGAGATGAACTAAAAAACAAACCATCTAGAAAGGATGTATTCATAAAATAATTTTGAATTTCTTACTGTTTTAAACATATTTCACAGAGTTGCTTCAAACTTTCATAAAAAATAACATTTTTCCTTTGTATAATTAATAGGTGGGGAGTCACTTTTGATTTAGAAAAGATACTAAGAAGTCAAATACTTTGGCACACTGTTAAAAATCATCAAAATCGGCCCATTAAAATAAAAATATATTAACCTTTAAAATACATACTACATTATCAAAGATTTATGGTGCCCATTTTTCGTGCCGGTGAATGTATTTCAAAAACTACATTTTAGTCATATACTTTTCTAATGAAACAAACCTTTATTTTTTTACTGGAATCCAAAAATCAATTAATATATAGGGTGTTCCATTACAAAAACATAACTTTGATGTGTAACTTTTTTGGGACACCCTAGAACTCTACATAATTTTAGAAAATAATCAATTGACTTATATAAGCTCAGAAAATTGCACTTCAATACAAACTTTTGTTCTCCTTGCAGAAACCGCGTCGTATATGACGCGCCACCCTGTATAATTCGATTTCAATCAAAATTTCAATGATTAGAATATAATCAGAATAGGTATAGCTTATGTATTGGATTTATTTATTTCAATAAATTTACGTAGAAAAGAATTAAAAAATCAAAATATTAAGAGAAGGGAAATAATTAAAGAATTTACTAAAATTACTAAAATAAAAAATTAAAGCAACGAAAAAAATGGGTAAACATTTTTTTTTTTTAGTATTTTATCTATAAAACATAATACAGAAGGTTTCACATGTCTCTGGGCCACTCCACTATATGATTATATTATTAATTATAATAATATAATCATGATTATCCTTACCATCTTCCTCTGTTTGACAGTAATGCGGAACTGTCAAAACCCCATCACCCACTTTGGTGAAAGCCAACACCTGCAAACTGTAATTGGTGAATTTCCTCAAGCCGGTGATGACAGTTGTCAATGCTGTCGTTTTTCGAGTCTCCATTTCGTCGTTTCCTCGCCACCTGTCATCAGGGACTGGCTCATACGTCAGTTTATAGCCTTGGGAGTAGTCCCATTGCTACAGTCTTCGGTAGGAGGAGGCTACAGCTCACTCTTGAGGCTTTGTGAGGTAAGAGGTGCACATCGCAAGACCACTGAGGTCTGCTAGAACTGTGAATTAAAAATATATATATAAAACTTTAATTTCTAATAAGAATGACTTACCGTCCTCCATAGTTTGAGCTGTGACTGGGTCACTTAGAGGACCCGCCCCCACTTCATTGTAGGCCTGTATCACTATGTGATATCTAGTGAATTTAGCGAGGCCACCCAGTAGGATTTCACCACCGTCTTCACCGTCACCAGTTACTGAGGTAAAATTGTATGATCCCATAGAGGCAGAACGGTAACCCACGTTAAAACCCTGAGGAAGTAATCATATCAAATTCTATCATAGAATAAGAAACGTTGAATAAAAAATATCACAGACGAGTATATCAACAAATTTGGTAAAGATTGCAAAGAGGTTTCAATATAAGCTAAAGTATAGAGAATCATTCCCCAATGACAGTAAATTTGAATGTTTATTAGAATGTATTGAGAAATAGTCAAAAATATTTAAAATTAATTAAATTATTTAGAATAAAATATAGATAAGCTACAAAACAACGAAAAAAAATACATTTCTTAATTGATTTTCACTACTTATAACATATATTATACAGGGTGAGTAGTTGTACCAGGTGCAAATATTTTTGTGGGTGGTATATTTCGATCCTAGAAACACGTCTATGAATTTTTTTTTTTTTTTTTTTTTTTTTTTTTTTTTTTTTTTTTTTTTTTTTTTTTTTTTGAAAAACATAATATCTTACACATGGCAACAGGTAATTTAGAAAACAAAACCGCTGTGAAAAATTCCAGATTCTGACAAGTAAAAACATTTTTTGGGCTCTTTTGATGTAAAAATTCGGACTATTTTAGACTTATTTGAAGAACGGTAAAGAGAAAATATATTTCATTTATCGAGGTCTACCAACCCTGAAAATATATGCACTTAGTTAAGACTCACCCTGTATAATTAGTTACTAGAAACCAGCTGTTTTTTATTTTTCATATTAATGTTTAGACATAATTCTTAAATAAGTAAATAATGTAACTGAACGAAGTACAATGAT